CCTCTACTGCGGGAGCACAGAGATCACATGCCTCATGGAGGACACTCTCTTCTGTGGGAACACAGCGATCACGTGCCTGATAGTCCTCTACTGAAAAGGACACACTCTTGGCACAGCTTCCAGAGGTTGTGCTTCAAAGGGGAGAACTGGACTCTGGCTCGGCAGTGAATCACATGGGGTGCGAGATGTCACAGCCAGATAATCCAACCCTATGTGAACTGCACGTCCTCACTCTGAGAATCAGGGATAAAATAGTACTTCAAGGAGTGGCACTCCACAGTTAAGCCATCAGGTTTTGTAGCAAGTATCCTCTGTGGAGCCATCTTGCTGGTACTATAAATATTTTAAAATACTAAGAAAAGGGGTTTTTTGTTTGTTTGTGGGGTTTGTTTTGTTTAAGAGAGGGTTTCACTACATGATCCAGGCTAGCGTGAATTGCTATAAACCAAGCTGTCTTGGAATTGTGCATCCAGCTGCCTTGGCGCCTCAAGTGCTACTACGCTTAGCAACAGTAACTATACAATTCCACAGAAAAGTTAAAGTAAAAAAATGTACGCCACGTGTGGCAGCCCATGCCTGTAATTCCACGACTTGGGAGGAAGAGGCAAAAGAATCTGAAACATTGCCACAAGTTTAAAGATAGCCCAGTCTAGTCAGTGAGTACAGGCCAAAACCAAAACAAATAAAAACAAAGAAGCACAAGTAAAAAAAAAATAACAGTATTCTATAAAAATTATAATAGGAAATTAGTAATAAAAGGGTTTGAAAAATCACTTTTTTCTTATAAATAATATCTGACAAGGAAAAGTGCAGAAGATAACACTTAAAATACTCTTTGAACAACGGGAAACTTTATAAATACCTGTAAAAGGGAATCCAATATTAAAGTGGCAACTGACTTCTCCTCATTATCTTGTTCAAAAAGAATTTCCACAACTGAATCTCTAATGAGATTAAAGAGAAAAGAGAACATTTTATAGTCATCATATAATGTGGCATAGAATAAACCATTAGTTACACTGACACAATGTTTTTAAATGGCAGTACCACCTTCATGAAGTATTTAATAAAATATAAAGCTTTCTCATTGTAAGTGGGGAAATGGGAAAAACCCTCAAGGGTTTTCCAGTGAACGTGAAAAACAAGGTTTGTCATACAGAAAGCATTCCTCAAGTGTTAGCTACTGCTATAGTAAGATTTATATGTTTTGGATTTCATTACAGTTCCTCAAACAAAACAGAAAAGAAGTTATACTCTGTAAAAGCTAACAAGATTTCACATGCCTGTAAGTCAGAGATACACGGAGTTTAAAAACAGGTAACAGAGCCCTGTGGTTTCCGCAATCAAGGTCCCATGTAGTTGAAGCTGGCTCCAAACTCGTTATCCTCCCGTCTCTACCGCCCATGGGCTGAAATCTCAAGTGTGAGCCACCACGCCAGGCATCTCACATTTTTTTAATTTAAAAAATACACAAAGCTAAACATAGTGACTCCAACTCCTGCGCATGTCTGTGCAGCATATGAATAATGCCACAAAGGTCAGAGCAGGGCATCAGACACTCAGCAACTAGAGTTACAGAGAGTTCTGAGTTGCCATGTGGTGCTGGGAATTGAACCAGGTCCTCTGTATTGTTATGCTGAGCCATCTCTCCAGATCCAAAAAACAAAGTTTTAAAGCACAAACAAGCAAATGACTGACTACAAATAAAATCTAGCCACCTTTACAAATGAAGTCTTATTGGAGCACAGCATGATTCCCTTATACACTGTACATTATAGCGCCAGTTTTCTACTCCAGCTGTAGAGTTAGCTGAGTAGGCACAAAGACTGCACAGACCTCACTACCCTTTATTTGAAAACATTATTTTCTGCTACTATTTTAAACACTGTTAATTTCATTAAAATAATTCTGAATTACTCTGATGAGCAGGAAGGAAAGAATATTTTTAAAACTTTAAAAAGCTGAATAAAATTACTGACCAAAAGTGAAGCATCATAAAAAATTTTTTACTGTTAACCTGAAAACATTTACTTAAAGGCTTATACAAATATTTTAACTCGTTATTTCCCTCATAAAAATAATGTCTAACCTGATTGATCCAAGTACATGTAAAATTTTCTCTCCATCCAATGGATAGTCAACATTTGGAGGTGGAGAGGGACGCTGAAATGTAAAAAAATAATAATAATAAAAATAAATGAGGTATAATTGTAAGCAAACATATAAGTAACTTTTGCAAAAGGAATTAATTTTTAAGCTTACCTCATTATTCCCATCAATATTAAATTTTGCTGCTTGGATTTGTAGTCCACGCTTTAGATCACTTACAAAGCACGTACGCACTTCAGGAGGAAATGAATGTACCTTCATTACTGCTCGTTGTTCAATGAATGGTGAGCTTACACTTTAGCCAGAACAATCTCATTCAAATAAACATACAATTTAAATACTCATCTTCTGTAAAATCATATATTATTTTATTGCTTTTATATGAAACAGAGTTGAGGTTTTACTATCGATATTTTAATACAGGCTTAAGTATGAAGCTTACAAGAAAGAAGGAGGGGCCAGGGAGATTAGGAGAGAGAATCAGGGTGGCAGAGAGAGAAAGAGAGACGCCCAGGGAAGACAGACAGACACATGTAAGAGCAAAAATGCAGGCTTCTCTATGGATTGTTGCCCACAAAACCATATTCTAAAAATTCCTCTACAGAATCATTTCTGGCATTTGACGGCCACTGTAGAAGTGTAATGATACAAATAAACTGAGCGGCCATGAGAGACAGCTCTTCCAGTTAAACAGCTTGTGCTTTCAGGAGTTCTGGTTTCTCTTTTCTCCTTTTGAGTCTTAGTGAAGACACAAACTCCACTAGACTCTTAGCTTCATTACTTCCTGCATGGCACATCCTGCGAGATCACCTGCCTGTTACTCTATCCTTATAATAGTGCATTCTGGAAACTCAACACTGTGGGGTTTTATTAATAAGGCCTTTAGACATAGGAATAAGTAAAAATTTTAAATCTGAAAAAAAGCTGGGGCTGAATGCAAGAAATCTAATAACTTCAGCCGAATAACTTTTAAAACATCACATACACACTTAGAACTATGGATGTGTTTACTTTCATTTTAAGATAAATTCTAAACTGGACAGTGGTGGCACACACTTTGAATCCTTGCACTAGGAGGCAGAGGCAAGCACATCTCTGAGTTTATGGTCAGGCTGATCTACAGAGTGAGCTCCAGGGCAGGAAGGGTTACACAGAGAAACCCTGTCTCAAACACAAATGATAAATTCTGGTGGGAGCTAGAGTGATGTCTCAATGGTTAACAACACTTATGCTTCTAGAGGACCTGGGTCCATTCCCAGAACTTACATAGTGGTTCACAACCATCTTAACTCCAGTGCCAGGGAACCTAGTGCCTTCTGACCTCCATAGGAACCAAGCACTCATGTGGTGCACATACATACATTAAGGTAAAACACATAAATAAATTAAACTGGAAAAAAAGCGGGGGGAGGGGGGAAGGGTCTTCTGGCTAGCTCCTGCTGCTCTGAAACTTGCTGTGTATGTGTGCATTTGTATTACATGCTGAGATTATAGGACATGCCATCAGATATATTTTCTATCTGTACTTTTAGAAACATGTGCCTTTCAAACTAGCACTAAAGAATGAAAGGAACAGAAACAAGAACGTCTGGGCTGGAGATGGGTAGTGTTAGGGCACTTGCTGTCAAGCCTGACCACCTGAGTTATCCCGAAGACCCTCACACTGAGAAAGAAAACCCTCTTACCTTTAATATCTTCTAGAACACTTTCTGGAACTGAACCTGAAAAACAATGTTATTAAGAATTAAAGAACTGCCAGGTGGTGGTGGCACACGCCTTTAATCCCAACACTTGGGAGGCAGAGGCAGGTGGATTTCTGAGTTCGAGGCCAGCCTGGTCTACAGAGTGAGTTCCAGGACAGCCAGGGCTACACAGAGAAACCCTGTCTCGAAAAACCAAAAACCAAAAACCAAAAAAAAAAAAAAAAAAAAAAAGAATTAAAGAACCTTATTAATAATTATTTTAAAATCCCATTTAATTTTCTTCATTCCCCATTTTTCATTTAAGTAAAATTAAATAATATATTGAGCTTTTTAAAGGTCTAACAGAAAAATCAATTTGCTTTTAGGGAAGCAATCTTTCCGAAGTGGAGCACTCCAAGCGAGGAGGGCAGAGCCCAGAAGGGCAGAAGTGTCCCAGGAGAGGGAGAGCGAGAGCTCACGTCTTACAGCAGAAGCCAGCACAGCAACGGGACTTGTGATGAACTGCATCTCCACAGGTGTGTGTCACCTAGTTTAGCCACAGCACTCCCCTAGCACCTTCTTTTGTCCCCTCTGCTCTTTCCCAATCCTTTCTAAGGATATTTAAAAAAGAAGAATAAAAAGACTGGCATGGTGGCTAGGGAAGCTGAGGCAGAAGGACTGCCCCAAGTTCAGGGACAGCCCGGGCTACATACTAAGACCATAATATTTCAAAAAACAATAAGCAAACAACACACACACACAAATTCAGGAGTAAAAAAGTAACCTTTTAGACATGCTACCAACATGACATGATTATTTGCCAACATGCTCGTTTTCTGAAGTTGAAACAGGAATACAATTTTCTAACCTAAATTTAAAGTCTTCTAAGCCAACCATATATGCTGTCTCACCCCTTTAATCCTAGAACTTAGGAGGCATAGGCAGCAGGATCTCTTTAAGTTAGAGAGCAGCCCGACCTACATATTGAGGTTCCGGGCCAGTCATGGTTACTATCTTAAAACAATATATAATAAAATAATGTCTTCTAAACCAAGTCTCAAAAACTATTTTATTCGTATATAAAAACAAACAAGCTTTTTGAAGAAATGGATCATGATAAATGGTCCAGCATAACACTGATAAATTACATGATAAATTACAGCATAACACTGTAATTCCCACCCAGATCTATACACCTTGTCTTGAAGTCAACTATTTATAATGAATTTAATCTAAAACCACCTAAAGGATTAACCTGTAATTTGAAAAGTGGCACATTTAATCACATATGCTTGAAAAAGAGTAAAATATGTTTACTAGTACTAAGTATGATGCCAGTGGGTTGGCAAGAGTGAGTTCAGCTCCTAATGGCTATAGCTCACAACTAAAACTTCTAATATGGCTCTAGCGGCCAGGGTCTAACTTGGGGATAGAGCCCATGCTTGGCATGGACAAAGCTTTGAGTTTAACCCCCTTGCCCCATTATCAGCCACTTTGTTAGTATGGCTGGTAAAGGGCAACTTTAGATTTAGTATTACTTCTATTAATTTTATTCTCTTCAATATCTCGCTTTTGTATTTCATAGCACGGTGATTATAGCACACAAGTTTATAAACACACACACTAAAGGGTCATGGTTCAAAGTGCTTTAGTGTTTGATCAAAACAGTTGACAATTCTACCCTTAGACATTAACATTTATCCAGCAGGTACAGCAACATGTCTGTGCCCCAGCATTCGGGTGTTAGTAGCTAGAACAGGGGAGTCAAGAATAACTCTAGCAACATCATGAGTTCAGAACTTGGACTATAGGAGGCCTCATCCCAACGAAAATGGCAAACAAAAAGTGTAAAAATAGTGTTAAAATTTACCTCTCAAGAAGGTAAAGTGACTTTCCAAGATTTAACCCCGCCTATAGAAAGAGATGGACCTGTACTCTTAGAATCAAGAACCTGAGTCTCTAAAGCTGCGGCAGTCCACAGCTGCTATCTGTTTTTCTAGGACTATTCAGATAGCAGTCAAGAAATGACTGGTATAGACCAGTTTTCTGTTGCTAAGTTAAGGAAGGGTTTAGTTCAGTTACGATTAAATGCTACTTTAAAAAGAGGAGGCAATCTTGGTAAATAATCACAACTGCTTAAATTTTGCAAGAATGGAAATAACAGCCATTCACTCTGGAAAGCTCCACTTCAGACATTTCAGTAGAACAAAATGGATAATAATGTTTGGTATATAATTTACATTACATACTTTTTTGTTGTTGTTGTTTTTTGTTTTTTTGTTTTTTGAGACAGGGTTTCTCTGTGTAGCCCTGGCTGTCCTGGAACTCACTCTGTAGACCAGGCTGGCCTCGAGCTCAGAAATCCGCCTGCCTCTGCTTCCCAAGTGCTGGGATTAAAGGCGTGTGCCACCACCGCCCGGCCATTATATACTTTTCAAATCACAGTACTTAGATTCTCATTTCAGGATCTTGCTGTGTGACTCAGGCTAGCCCTAACTCACAATCTACCTGGGTTTTGAATGCTGAAATTATTCATTCTCCTTTTCAAAAAATGGTTCTAAATACTAAGTGAAAGAAGATAATTAAAATTTCATCTGAGAGCTGGGCGGTGGTGGCGCACACCTTTAATCCCAGCACTTGGGAGGCAGAGGCAGGCGGATTTCTGAGCTCGAGGCCAGCCTGGTCTACAGAGTGAGTTCCAGGACAGCCAGGGCTACACAGGGAAACCCTGTCTCAAAAAAAACCCAAAAATTTCATCTGAGGATCTAAAGTACACCTAAGGTTTTCATCTAAGCTTTACTAAGGACTTCAGAGACAACCCTTTAAATTTGTCTATATCTCTGGTCATTGTCCTGTGTCAGCAAACAATGCAGTTCTGACTTCTCTGGTTTTTGTTTTTGTTTAAATATTTACACAAATGTTTTGCCTACATGTATACATGTGCACTAAAGGGACCACTGCTGCTCACAGAGGTCAGAAGAGAGCATCAGGTGGGAGTTACATTTGTTCTGAGTCACCATGTGGTAGCAGGGAATTGAACCCAGGTCCTCTGGAAGAGCAGCCAGTGCTCTTAACTGCTCAGTCATCTCTCCAGCCCCCGATTCTGACTTCTCAATGTCAGAAATGTAATACAGATTAGGATTCTGAGACAGGAAAGATCAGAATAAGTTAAAGGTTCACTATGGAGAGCAACCCAGCAACAGAGTTACTAATATAGTTAAGATCTCACTACCACCACCCCAACTACCCTGTTCCCCTGCACCTCCTCCACCACAATCTAGCTGGGGCCTTCATGTGTTGCCTGGGATAGTTCAAATGCAATGTTCCTGCCTCAGCCTCTTAAGTAGCTGGATTACAAATGCATGCTAACTGTGCATGGCTTATGGTCAGTTTTGTTTTTGGACACAGGTTTCTCTTTGTAGCCCTCCCTGTCCTGGAACTCATTCTGTAGACCAGAGATTACCCTGCAACCCAGAGATCCACCTCCCTCTGCCTCTAAGTGCTAGGTAGGATTAAAGGCATGCATCACCATGCCCAGCTGGTTTATGATCAGTTTAAAGTAGCATCTTTAATCACCTGGGCAGTGGCAGCACATACTTTTAATCCCAGCACTCAGACAAAGGCAGGTGGATCTCTTGTGAGTTCAAGGCCAGCCTGGTCTACAGAGTGAGTTCCAGGACAGCCAGGGCTACACAGCAAAACCCTGTTTTATGAAAAAAAAAAAAAAAAAAAAAGTAAATAAAAAATAGACAACTAATCAGATTTCTGCAACCAAATAAGAATTGCTATTATCTTAACTATTAAGAAAGAACCATAAGAAAACATGAAAAGAAAGGTTAACTGCCCCAAAACTGTTTTTCTTTCTCACTTTCCAACATACTTTTCAGCATAAAGGCACTTCACTAGTAAATCTAAAAAGTAAGACAGGGCCCCTCAAAGTCTGTGTTGGAAACAGCTAAGTTGGGAACATGACACATAAAGGTTTACTAGAGGAACAACTTATTAGCACTGCTTAGGGAAGACTAGGAAAACCTTACATGAGTTGACATTCCATCTGGATCATGTACAGGGAACAAAATCCCAAGGTGTGTGTGTGTGTGTGTGTGTGTGTATTCGTGTGTATGTGGGGGGGCTAATGACTATAAGATGAAGATGGGGTTGTGCAGATAAGTGCTCTTGGTGATGGAAGACAAGTTTCTAGCTGGAATAAGGAGTAAACGGGTAGGGTTAAGGCTAAGAGGGAGAAAAGAATGAGATTATGGAAAAATGTGCAGCAAGTGTGAAAGGTGGGTTAATCTGTAGGAGCTAAAAAATGTCTTGTCAATATGGGGAAAAGCCATCCCTGACAACTGTATGAAATAAACCCAATCAGCAAAGGCCAGGCTCACAAGAAGACAAGAAGAAGCGATGTAGGTGAGGCTGCAGAGGCTCTGCTCTCACAAGTGCAGCAGTGTGACGGCTGAAAAACTACAGGAGGATTACAAAGCCTTTCGGAGAAAGAACTGGAAAGCTTTGCTAATCCCCCATTTTTTAAAAGGAGAAACAGAGATAATGCTATTATATTATTAAAAAAATTAAAATATAATTATATCATTTTCCTTCCTAAGATATTATTACCTGTATCAAATAAAATTGAAAAATTATAAGAGAAGCCAGACAGTGGTGGTACACATCTTCAGTCCCAGCACTCAAGAGGGAAAGGCAGGTGGATCTCTGAGTTCAAGGCCAGCCTGGTCTACAGAGTGAGTTTCAGGGCTAGACAGCAAAACTCTGTCTTAAAAAACAAAACAAAACAAAACAAAACAGAACAAAACAAACAACACAAACAAAAAAAGAAAAGAAAAGGCCAGAAAAGAACGTGAGGCGCTGCTCCCTTCTGGGAGTGCTGACTTAGCGACCTCAGGTGACAGGTGTTGTGTATATCTAATAATCTGGTGGAAACACGAGTGTCAGGTTCAGAAAGATCAGGACCAGGCTCCATCTAAGAATCAATAACATGCAGAAGCGATTTCAGCCAGAGGAATAGATGAAGTCTGCTTAAAAGCCAGTAGAAAGATAAAGAAGAAGAGGGGGAGGAGGAAGAGGAAGAAGAAGAAATAAAATAAATCAAGTCCCCCGTGGAACCACTAGGAGAGAAAAATGAGAGAGGATGAAACCAAGGAGGAGTACTTAGAAGCAACAGTCCATGGAAGAAAGAATTCCAAAAGCAAAGGCTGGACAAGAGGATGGGAACCACCCAGAGTTTTAGAGAAGACAACTAACACAGGGTCAAGAGTGGTGGGGAGAAATGAGGAGAAGGAGCAATGGCAGGGTAAACAGAAGCTAAAAAGTATGAGGAGCACAGTCCACTAAATGGCTTCTTACCCATCACTGAGGGGAGGCTCTGTCCTTTAGCAGCACCAGTGTCAACAGTACACTGTTCCAACAGCTGAGTTTCCAACTCCCTGAAATTTGAAAGTTATTGAAATTAAAATACTGCAACTGATAATCTCTTCTTATTTAAAAGGTACAGTACATAATAAACCATGTCTCATATAAAAAGTTTATTTTGGCCCAGGGAAATAGTGGCAAATGCCCTTAATCCCAGGACTTGAGAGGAAGAAGCAATTGGATTTCTATGAGTTTGAGGCCAGCCTGGCCCTCAGAACAGGTTCCAGGACAGCCAAGGTTATATACAGAGGGAAACAAAATATTTGTTTTGAGGCAGGGGCTCTTGTAGCCCACACTGGTCTTGAATCTCCCATGTAGCCGAGGGTGACCTTGAACTTTCTTGCCTCTAACTGAGGTGCTGATGCTGGGATTACAGGTGTACATCCCTGTACCTGGTGTCATGTGGTACTGGTGATAGCACACCAGGGCTCTGTGTATACCTAAGTCAAGCCCTTTACCAATGAAGGTACATCTCCAGACCAATAAAAAAAAAGGCTTTATCTTTAAAAGAGGAATATATTTAATCACCCCACTCCATACACAGGCTTCCTACCCTCCCCCAGGTCTATCTAGCCTGGCCTCTACTTCACTTACCCCACCACCCGGCTCCTCAACCAGATTTCCTATATCTTCCTTGAGGGCACAGACTGAACTAACAAAGAAGCCCACATGCTCCAATTTCACTGAAAGAATATCAACAACATGAAAGATCAAGCCTTCCCTTCAAAACCTACTAGTCTTGTAGAAATCTTGCCAATGATGATTACGTAGATGAACTCAGGATACAAAATCTTTTAAAATATAATTTGTTGTCTCGAAAAAACAACAAAAAAATAATAAAATATAATTTGTTCATTTTTTTTTTAATGTACATCAGTGTTTTGCCTGCATGTTTGTCTGTGTGGCAAGTGTCAGATCCTAGAGTTACACAGAGCTGTAAGGTGTTATGGGGGTGCTGGAAATTAAACCCGGGCCCTCTCAAAGAATAATAGCCAGTGCTCTTAACTGATGAGCCATCTCTCCAGCCAAAGGATATCTCATCAAAGAATTCAAGGAATTTAAAGAAGACAAAGGAACAGCACAATAAAATCAAGGAGAAAGAGCTTAAAGAGAACAAACATCCAAGCAACGCCCACAAAACTCAGACAAGACTCACAGAAATGATGAAGACAATCCAAAACTTGAGAACCGAGTTCAGTCAGGAGGTACAAACACTGAAGAGGACTCAAGCTGAAATGAAGATGGAACTGAAAATCCCAATAGCTGAACTAGAAAACTCAAAGGAAAGTCCTACAATTGGAAGGAGTCGAGCAGAAGACAGAACATCAGGTCTTGAAGATGGAGTAGAGGATCTAGACCAAAGGAACAAGGAACACGGATAATTAAAGAGAAAAGAAGAGCACAGAGGAAAGAACACACAGGAAATGAGGAACAGCATGGGGAAAAAACAAACCTTTGAACTGTAAGCAGAGATGAGGAAGAAGAATCCTAAGTCAAGGTCATAGAAGAAAACTTCCCAAACTAAGAAAGATATACCTGTACAAGTACAAGACACACACCAACACCAAATAGACAAGACCAGACAAGAAATTCCCATGGCATATCACAGTTAAAATACTAAGTATCTATAACAAAGACAGTGTATTAAAAGCTGCGAGAGGAAAAAAAAATACAAGTCACTTATAACCTATAAGAATAACAGCTATTTCTCAGTGGGAACTCTGAAAGCTGGAAGGACCTACAGCAATGCATTCCAAGTGGTAAAAGACTATGTTGGCCAACTTAGACTAATGTACGTAGATAAAAATCTGCATTATTGGAAGAGAAAAACAAATCTTGGCATGACATAAATATCCTAAAAACATTTATATCCAACAAACAAAACCTAGTACAGGAAGAATTATTTTAAGCTGAAGAGAGGAATGAGAGACTAGAAGAATCTCTAATAGAGAGCCTAGAAAAAAAACTGAAATCATAATTATTAAAACACAAAATACTGGCCAGGCAGTGGTGGTGCACGACTTTAATCCCAGCACTTGGGAGGCAGAGGCAGGTGGATTTCTGAGTTTGAGGCCAGCCTGGTCTACAGAGTGAGTTCCAGGACAGCCAGGGCTACATAGAGAAATCGTCTTGAAAAACCAACCCCCCCCAACAAAAACCCACAAAATACCACTGAAATATAAACAACACTAAAAATCCACAGCACAATGACCACACTTAACATTTACTTCAATAAAAACTTTGAAATCAGTGGGCTCAACTCAAAAGACACAGGCTGATTGAACAAATCAAGAAACAAAATCCATCATCTGCTGCTTACAGGAAACACATCTTAATTTTAACGACAGGTACCACCTTAGAGTAAAAGAATGAATACACTTTAAAATTTCTCTCAAATGGGACCAGGAAGCAAGCACCACTACTGTAACATATGACAAAACAAACTTCAAACTAAAACTAATCAGAAGAGATAAAGAAGAATATTTTATTCTAATTAAAGAAACAAGAAGACATTGATATCCTGAATATACATATACATGTCAAACTCTGTCAAGCCCAATCTTATATATACATACATATATATGTACATACATGCATATGTATGTATGTATATGGCTAGAAGGAAGATACAGCATAATAAAGCTATAGACAAGAAGCCCATAGCCAGCATCATCCTAAATGGAGACAAGCTTGAAGTAGTCCAATAGAAGTCAGGAAGGAGACAGGGCTGTCCACCACCCCACTCCTCACCTCTGTGCTCCAAGTACTAGCTGGAGCAATACGGCTAGAGAAGGAAATTAGAGGGATACAAGTAGGGAAAGATGATATGATACGACACATTAGAGACCCTAAAAATCCTACCAGAAACTGCTAGAAAACATAAACTCAGCAAATGGCAGGATACAGAATCAACTTGTACAAATCAATAACTTTTCAATACAACAAATATACAGAATGGGACTCATAAACACATTCGCATTCACAGCAGCCTCAAAGAAAATAAAATACTAAGAAAGAAACCTAACTAAAGTGAGAGAAATGAGAAAAGCATTAGAAAATGGAACAAAATCCATGGTCACAGATTGGTAGAATTAACATTGTAAAAATGGCCATTCTACCAAAAGCTTTTTATAGATTCAATGCAATCCCCATCAAAATCCCCAAGCCATTATTTACAGAAATAGAAAAAAACTATCCTAAAATTCATATGACACCACAGCAGACCCTGGATAGCCAAAACAATCCTGAGAGAAAAGAATAATGCTGGAAGGGAGAAAGGGGAGATTACAATTTCAGCTAAGAATGGAAACAGCTAAAATGTATTTCAATCAACAAATGATAATGAAGATGTGGTATTCGGTTGTAAAGAAAAAGAAAATCATGAACTTTGCAGGTAAATGGATGGAACTAGATAGAACTGGAAACAATGTTGCATGTTTTCTTACACTGGAGGCTCCTGACTCCAAATCTTCAGATATAGCTGTAGTCTTAACTCCTCATCTAGGAAACTTCTGTTTGCAACAGAGAAAACTACAGAAAACTACAACCAATCAAAATGCAGAGTTGTGGAGTCTAGTCCCAATGGACACAACTACAGAACACTACTGCACCTACTAAGGCTTAGGAACATTGTGGAGGGTGGGGGTGGGGAGAAAGATCATGAAGATCAAAAGGATCAGGGAATCTGCTGTAAAGTTTTGTCTCCTAGTAATATCAGAAGCTACACCATAAAGTCTGACCAAAATGACTGTCCAAGTGAGAGCTGAGTAAAGATACTATCGTTGGACATGCCAAAGTGGACAGGGAAAAAAGCCCACAAGATCTCAATTGTACACAAAGAACTGAAGACAACTGGGGAAAGCTGGCAGTGGGAGAGGTGTCTTCCCTAGGGAAGAGTGGACCAACTGATTGTCTAATGTCAAATGGTCAGCCCTGAGAACATATAGACAAGAACATTACAGACTTAACAGGTTATATTTATGAATACATACACACACACACACACACACACACACACACACACTCTATTAGTGAAAGAGGCCATGAATTTAAAGGGAGAGTAGATAGGAAGGCTTAGAGGGAGGAAAAGGGTGAAATTAGTTGTATTATAATCTCAAAAAAATGATGAATGCATTCAAATAAAAAAGAAAATGGAATAAATTAAAAATCAGATTATAAGCATTGGATTTTGTGGTACTGGTGAGAAAACATACAAGAAACTTACTTGTGAAGAGCTTTTCCTCCTAAGGGTAGTGCTCCCCAGCAATTCAATACTGGGATGCCTTCATATATCTATACTGTAGTCAAGGACATCATCATCTGAGGAGATACAATGTTTCCTCTACAATACTGTACTAATTAACCTTGCTGATAAACTTTTACTTCTTATTTTAGAAGTTATAGGAAAGTCAGAAGCAAGTCTTTTAATAGTGTTCACCAAAGAAAACACTTAAATGTGTACATGCGTAGACACATCACAATTCATTAATTAGATAGAGGCATCCAACAAAGTAAGTCATTAGCAATATAGACCTACTGAGTGCTTAAAATTCATCTGTTCAGAACTTTGATAGCTTTAAGAGTCTAAGTTTGATAGCTTTAAAAGTTTAATAAAAAAATACTCTGACAATCAACACATCAGGAGAAGGCATTACAGATGGTTGTGAACTACCATATGGTTGCTGGGACTTGAACTCAGGACCTCTGGAAGATCAGTCAATAGTCTTAACTGCTGAGCCATCTCTCCAGCCCCAGAGAAATATTTTTAATATACTGGACTAAATAACTTTACTGCTTTAACTTATATGAATTTCTAAGATATTTTAAAATTCTACATATGGCCCAGCCTGGCTAAGCCACGAGGATGGTACTATATTACTCATACATTACATTACTGCTAATACTGTGTGGGTTGATGCTTTGTAAGGACTTAAAAATGAAGAAGAATACTGGCAAGAGTGCCAGTTTGGACACTCTAGGTTTATATCCTAGCCATATGCTTATATAAACTTACCCTAACTTCCAACTTTCTTACTTATATGAAAAGGATAGCACTTACACGGCAGGTTTACTTTGAGAATTAAACAAAGTAATGTCTTTTTTGTTTGTTTGTTTGTTTGTTTGTTTTTCGAGACAGGGTTTCTCTGTGTAGTTCTGGCTGTCCTGGAACTCACTCTGTAGACCAGGCTGGCCTCGAACTCAGAAATCCGCCTGCCTCTGCCTCCCAAGTGCTGGGATTAAAGGCGTCCACCACCACCCGGCACAAAGTAATGTCTAACTTAGTTTTTTAGGAGTAAATAATTATTTCCCTGCTCTGAACATTTTTTTTCATAGAAATCTAGATTTTGAAACTGCTTGTCTTATGTTCATGTACTTTAACTACATTCTAACAAAGCAACATTCACTGTGACGATTCAATAAAGCTTACCTCTATTGTAAGTGTTTATATGGAAAGAAATATACCTATTTATTAAACCAGTAGTAATCCTCTGTGACTAAACTACTAATTGTGCCTTATTAAGTGACATACCTGTTGGGTCCTACACTAAGAGCTTACCGTACTCAACACACACAGCTCCTACGAGATGGAAGATCACCACTGTTTTATAGATATGGAACCTGAGGGCAGGAGTGCAAGCTACCTGAGTGGTACCCTGTAGGGAAGAAGCCAGTCCAGATTTGTCCTTTCCTGCCCATGCACATAAATTCAAAGGCATATTATTCTGACAGCCTCTGCACACAGAAAAAAAAATGTCTTTCTTCTATAATGAAGGCCAATTTCTTTCTACCATTTAATTTTTTCTTAGTTTAGCTTTCTCATTTTAATTTGTTCAATTATTTTTTATATGACTTCTTTTCTTAGAAGTTAACTATCCTTATCAGCTGATAAAGCATCTTGAAAACTGAACATAATATTGACCAGATCTGCTCCTGGAGCATAAACTAGGACTGAATCATAATAACTTCTGCAAAAAGCTTAAATCTTTCAAGGCTATTAACCTTACCACATGATAACTCATACTGTACACACTAAGCCAAAATACCTCAATAATAAAAATCGTTTTTATAAGCCAAAATACTTTAGTTAAAATAAGTAAAGAAAAAAAACAAACCAAAAACCACAACATGGGCTAGGTGATAAAAAAAACAAAAGATACAGGCAACACCAGGCTTTCTCTATATCCACAATCCAGGACCACGGCAGAATTAATCCCGAGGGTCAGAAGCGCCATCAGATGACTTGGAGCAAGTAAGACAGACGGAACCTGGAAAGCAACAAAGCAGTAGCAAGACAGGGGTTGAGCGCAGTGTTTGAAGACGTCAGATTTGTCTGCAAATACACTGGAAAAATTCATAGGAACACTGCTCTGAGTTATATCTCTTCAATCAATGTTGGTGTTAAAAGAACTAACTTTCTGATTTAGACGAATTTACTCAATAACCAAAGTATATTGTAATAAACAATACTAGGTTGTTTCATTCTCAAATGACAATTCTAAAGCATTTTTATCAACACTACCTCTTGTGAAGTAGAATTTTCAAAGAGATAAAAGTCTAGAAAAATGTAAATTGAAAAGAAGATACTAAAGAACAGATGCCTTTGCCACACTGGAAATACTGAAAAGAACCCACCTCCTCCCTCTGGCCGTCTGTCCATCCATCATCCCTCCATCCCTCCCTTCTTTTTATGACAGCAGAGTTGGAGGCTGTCCATGAACTGTAGTGATCCTCCTGCTCAGGCTCTCAAGGACTGGGATTACAGGCATGATCTATTATGTCCAGCCTTAGGAAACAATTCCTACCACTGAGCTATCCCTCAGCCTTCTTTCTACTTAAAAACAATTTATTAATTTCATTTAAAAATAGGTATCTCAACCAACCACAGCTCCCAGGGTCTAAACCACCAGCCTGGGAGCACTTAGGGGGCGATCCAGGGCTTCAGCTGAATATGTAAAAGTGGAGGGCCCTGCTGGGCATAGGTGGAAGAAGAGAACCTTGACCTTATGAAGGCTGGATGCCCCAGGGGGTGGAAATTTTGAGGGTGGGGAGGTGGGAGTGGGGGGGGTAGATAGAGGTTACATCCACAGAGAAGAAGGAGGAGGGGCGAGGGGATTGGGGGTTCCGAGGGGGTGGTGGGGGATGGGGTAAGGGACAACATAGGAAATGTAAATAAATCATCCAATAAAAAAAAAAATAAAAAAATAGGTATCTCTAGGAGCTGAGGAGATGTCTCCTCAGTACAGTGCCTACCATGCAAGCATGAGGAACTGTCTACAGTTCCTGTACCCATATAAATAAAGCTGGTGCAGTGGCACATTCCTGTAATCCCAGGGTTGAGGAGACAGAGACAGGAGGATCACAGCAACTTCATGGCCAGCCAGGACAACTGAATCATGAGAGACCCTATCTTGAACAATAAGGTGTGAGGCAGGGGCTGCAACTCAGGTGGGAGAACTGCTCACTTAGCATGCGTGAAGCCACAGGCCATCTCCAGTACTGCATAAAAACAGATGCACATGTAATCCTACTACTTGGAGCTAAAGGCACGGGAAAAGGGAACCTCAATTGAGAAAATGTCTCCATAAGATCAGGCTATAGGCAAGCCCGTAGAGCAATTCTTAATTAATGACTGATGGGGCTGGAAGAGACTCAGCCCACTGTGGGCTGGTGGTTCTGGGTTCTATAGAAAAGCAGGGTGAGCAGGCCATGAGAACAAGCCATCCCACCACAGCCTCTGAATTAGTTCCTGTCTCCAAGGCTCCTGCCCTCACTTCTCTCAGTGTTGGACTGTTACCTGGAAGTGTAAACGTGATAAACCCTTTTCTCCCTGGTTGCTTTTGGTAATGGTGTTTCATCACAGCAGCAAAAACCTGACTAAGAACAGAAGATGGTACCAGGTTGTGGGGAGTAGCTGTGATGGACTGGAAGGACTTTGGAACTTTTAACTAGAAGGCCACTGAGTGTTAAGAGCTCAAATGGGCTATTACACTTACAAAGCTGTTGAAAGCAACGCAGGTAATGGAGGCTTGGTCAAAGCAGGATCAGAAGTTTAAGGTCAGTCTCAGCTATATATAGCACGTTTAAGTCTAACTTGGCTTCACAAGATCTCAAAAATGTCAAAAATAAATACAAAAATAGGATGAATAAATGATTAAGAAAGAAATTGGGCTGCTGTCCTCTACAAATAACATATATACATATGCACACAAACATGTATACATACATACACAAATAAAAATAGGTACCTCAAAATATTTGAAAAGAACACGAGTAAGTGTCTCTCTGAAGTGGGAAGGACATAACACCGACTCAATAACCACAACTCGGCGGTCTCTGGGATTCACCAACAGATGCCTGAAAAAGGGCAGTTTTGTTTTTAAAAGAAAACAGAGATCTGTACTTTTCTGGGTAAGTAATGCAATTTAAGAATAAACTGTTTTTCATATGTTCATATTTTCATGACAAAAATATGCCTTTATTTTACTATTCCAGGAATATGCTATTTCTGAGTTCTCGGACTGCGCCAAGTGCTGCAGCAGGAACTAGAGCCATTCTCATTACTAGTATTAGCCACTAAACAGACGCTTCCTTTTATGAATCTGTAAAAGTAGTTAAGTATAAACGGACAAACTCCAGTCACAATAGACATTAACTTGGAAACCATACACTTATTGCTCAGAAAGTACTAAAAATGATCTTTATTATTTTCTTATTTTTTGTGGATGCATATGCACATATTTAAGCAGAAATATGCATTCTATAGTTGTGCTTTACTGTACTCTTTTTATTTTTCAATACATCTTATGTTTCTGATTCACTCCATACAGATGTGGAACAACCCCTAACCCGTTTTGTTGCTTAGGACAGAACTGAGTGAATCAGCAAATGATTAACTACTACTGAGCAAAAGGCCCCAGACTCCAATAATAACTGCAAAATGTTTTACCCCTTAGAAAGCCAATAGTTTACTTAACAATCCTACTCCTCCCCCTCTCTCCCTCTCCCCCTCCCCCTCTCCCTCTCCTCTTGACTGAATTTTTTACTTGCATACTGTCAATCCCTTTTATTAATGGACATTTAAGTTGCCTTCAATGTTTTCTTACAGTTTTCAATTTTCTAATCTTCAAGTATGTTTTTCCAAAGGCTAAAGACAGAGATGACAAGATGGCTCAGGGGTGACGGCACCAGTGGCTAAACCTGACTTTGACCCATGGGACCCATGTGGAAGGAGGAGAGAACTGGTGCCCACAGTGCATCCTCCGACCTCTGCACACCTCACGTACCCAGAGACATGCACATCCACATACAAATTCTTAAAATAGTTTTAAAATGCCCAAAGGTTGAAGATAAACAAAACTGGTGATGGGATCCAATTTTCTTTTTTGCATCAGATGCAATAACCAAGCATTCCTGTAACTGGCATTAGAGGAAAAAAAAAAAAAAAAAACCTAACTGCTCAAGTTAGGAAAACAACAACCCTGAAATAAAGCTTCATCTTACCTGAAATACAGTATGTGGATGAATTCCTTTAGGTAGGAATATAATTCTTCTGTATTAATATTATACTGAACAACTTTGATTGGCTGTAAAAAATTAAAATGATTTCTTATATTAGCAAAACAATATTTTGTGCTTTTTATTTTCTAATAAATTTCCTCCTAATAAATGAAATTTATATTAAGAGCTTAAAAACTAAAAACCAATTAACCTAGGCTATAGGTCAACTGGTAGACTTGCATAGCTTATACAAAGCCCTGGGTTCAACCCAACATTGCATAAATCCATAAAACTCAATGTGGTGGTACATGCCTAAAAACAGGCAGAAGACTCAAGTTTAAGGTCATCAAGCCTTAACCTGAGTTATATAAAACTTTATCTCAAGAATAACATCAAGCCGGGCAGTGGTGGCGCATGCCTTTAATCCCAGCACTTAGGAGGCAGAGGCAGGTGGATTTCTGAGTTTGAGGCCAGCCTGGTCTACAGAGTGAGTTCCAGGACAGCCAGGGCTACACAGAGAAACCCTGTCTCGAAAAGCCAAACCAAAAAAAAAAAAAAAAGAATAACATCGAAACAACCCCAAACAAAACAAATAATCCCCACAAAGAGTAATCTCTTCAATGAGGAATTCCAAAGAACTGGCAATGTATAAAACAGAAGGTAATTTTGAATTGTATAAATAGAAGCATGCGTCTACAAGTAAGTGCACAGAACAATGCTTATAAGCTTTCTGTCTTAATTCATCTGACTTATCATTTGGGCATGACTGATGATAAAAATTCAGAATTGCCTAAGGAGCATAAAGAGGGCTGGAGAGACGGCTGAACAGGTACGAGCACTGCAGCAAGCACATTAAGTAGCTCACAACTGTAACAGCAGTTCCTGGGTATCTGCCGCCCTCTTCTGGCTCCCAAGGTCATTGCATGTTTGGAGGGAATGTGAGTATGTGCAGGTAAAACTCACACACACATGAAGTAAAAATAAATCTTAAAAACAAAGAAAAATAATGTTTAAAAACAAAAAGTAGCAAAGGTGTCCTCAAACATTCTAGACTTAGTTCATCTCCTGGATTATATGACTGTTGCACATCATGATTAAATTCATGTCATATAAAATTAGATCTCGCCAGGCAGTGGTGGCACACGCCTTTAATCCCAGCACTTGGGAGGCAGAGGCAGGCGGATTTCTGAGTTCGAGGCCAGTCTGGTCTACAGAGTGAGTTCCAGGACAGCCCCGGCTACACACAGAGAAACCCTGTCTCGAAAAAAACAAAAACAAACAAACAAAAAAAAGTCAACAAAGTTGACTTAAAAAAACTCTTGAAATTATCTTACTTTATTTTTCTAATTTTTACATCTTATTACTTATTAATATGAGTGTGTGTACGTGTGTGTGTGTGTGTGTGTGTGTGCGTGCATGCATGCATGATATATGAATGTGTCACAGCCCTTGTGTGGAGGCAGTATGACAACTTTGTTGAACTTGTTCTCCTTTCTACTTTTATGTGGGTTCTTGGTATGGACCTCAACTGCCAGGCTTGCTCAACAAGCACCTTTACCTACTGAGCAATCTTGCCAGTCCATAGTTTTCTGATTTTTTTTTAAAATACCTTAGACATGCCAGCTCTTTTTATCACACTAGGAATTATACATCGTGGACCAGTTTCTCCTGCGAATCCACACCTGCAAAGAAACGGAAAATTACACATTCATAATCTTCTTTCGAAATATCTGCCAAAGAAACAATGGCCACAAAAACATCTGGAAATACCTCTGATGCACTTACAGGGTCAAAGAAAAAAAAATAGCATCTATTAACAATTTTACATCCCACGTTAAAGGAAGAAACAAAGTCTATAAAGTATTTTATACTGAAATAAGCCAGTGTCTCATTTTGAGGCCGATTTCATTTTCTTTCACTTTTTAAATTCTGACTTTTACAAGACATTTATTTTTACAACCCTGGATCTACACTATGTGACGTCCTTCAGTCCTACATCACTCAATGAGAGGATATGAGAAACGCATTGTTAGGTGACTTAGTTATTTTGCAGCTTCATAAGAGTGTACTTACATAAACCTAGAAATACAGTGGGCTGCACATAAAGGTATGTGTGTGATTGTTGTTAGACTAGACACTTGTATAACATGTTGCTATACTAAATACTCCAGGCAACTATAACTCAACAATGTTTGCATACTTAAGTATACAAAAACATACAAAGGGTAAATATTTTGTGCACCTAAATGCATCTAAACATCGAATAATAGGAACTATAATCATTCAGAATAAAGAAACTCTGGTCATTGACAACCAACATGTGATACTGAAAAGCCATGACATTGTATATGTGATCGCTCATTGACTGAAATGTCATTCGCTACATGGCACATGACTACGATTTGGATCACACTATTAATAATCTCATCATTCTATTGTTACTTTTAATATTAATTTTGTACTATTACTAATAAAGTAACTGCTAACATGTTATTTAAGACTGTTCTTTTTTTCTTTAATCATTTTATGTGCCTAAGTGTTGTGCCTGTATGTATGTGTGCACATTATATACATGCCGGGTGATCATACAGGTCATTAGATTCCCTGGAACTGGAATTGTGAGGTAACTGTGAGCCATCTGGTAGCCAAGCATGGTAGGCATACGTACAATGCCAGCACTCAGGAGGGCAGAGGCAGTAGGACCAGAAATTTGGTGCCAGCTTGGGCTATACTGGACACTGTTTCAAAAAAGAAAAAGAGAAAAAATAGTAGTTAGTGCCACATTTCTTTTGTGCTGGAAAAACAAGTTTTGGTTTAAAAAAAAAGGTTGCAAAAATGACTATAATGTAAATTTCACCAAAACCACACTTTCTTTTTACTCTTGGGCACTGTCCCCTGTTCTCACTTCAATGTTACCTATATTCCATGCTCCTCAAAGTCCTCAAGACACAGTAGAATGATGTAGCTTAAGTTCTGCTCTTTGTACATACCTCCTGCTCTGTCTTCACTCATATCCCTATGTAATAATTTATATTATCAATATATAGCCAAAAAATTATTTTCAGGTATTAATCACTATGACATTAATGTTCTCAAAAAAGTAAGAGATGAATATGTGAGAGCCTGAGAACAAGAAAATAACCAAGAACTATGTTTAATCCAATTCTGTAGCTTCTAAGGGCCAATTTCTAAGTATGTTCTTATGACCATTTATTTAATAGTTACTTCAGGTTAGGAAGTGTTTAAAATGTCTAAAAATATGCCAAAAAATAATTCAAACATCTGTTTCATATTAACTTCACCTCATATATACATATGTATATATGATGTAATTGTCAGCTTTGAGTCTAATATGTATTTCATACACACCACCCCATATATACATATATATGATGTAATTCTGTGTTGTCTCTTGAGTCCAATATAAGGACTCTTAAATGGATGGTCCAAAGAACTCAAAACTGTCCTATCAACCAGATGTTCTAAGGTTTGTAAATTTGTGTTTTCCGTCTCTGCCTTTGACTGACTCTTTGAGGACCACTACTCCAGTGCTTACAAACTGCTTTTTAAAGTGTAAAATGTGGATCTAAGAGTATGAGGTAACCAACAGAATTTCCAGTCTTATCTCTATACGGCTTCACGTCTTCATCCCTAGCTGGATGTCCTACACTCTTGGGGAACAATCTATTTCCAGAACCAACAGGGCTCCATCGCATAAATGTTTTACAATGGAAAGAGTCAGCAAGTGTTACAATTCGATGGTTGGTTTCCTATATGACCCAGCAAGAGGTAAGCACAATCTGGGTCATCGCTGTCAAACCTTGAAATGATCACCTTACGTTGGGGTGGGGTAGGGTGAGGTGGGGTGGGGGGACACCGTTTCCAGAGCTTCCTGGGCTTCTCAGGTAGTCCAGATCCTACTCAGCCCACCAGATCCTCAAGGTTCGCATCGCCCAAGAGAGTCCTCCTTGACAAAACACTCCTCACTGACAAGGATTGAGCTTTGCTTCAACGCAATGATGCGAACGAACATTTGCGGGATCGCCGGGGTAAGGTCCCGGGTGCCCAGCGGGCCTAAGGACAGTTGCCGGTCCGGGACCACTCGCACTTCCCTCGGGCCCACAGCCGCCCACGGCCACTCACTTGGTGAAGGCTTCTCCTAGGTCGATCACGACCGCTGTCTTCTCGCCGCCGCTCCCGAGGCCCTCGTAGAGCGGCATCTTGGATAGACCAGCGCATAGACGATGAAGTGGTCCGCCGGGAGAAGAGCCGCCCGAGCGTGGGGGCGGGGCGGGGTCCTCGCACAGCCGAGGACCCGGGCTGGCCAAGGAGAAGCCTGACATCGCGGAGGCCGAGGCAGTCAGGCGCGCCAGGCACCTTAGGGGGCGGAGCCTCCCGGGTCCTCCCGCCTAGCGGCCCGGGGCGCCTGCGCGGTGAGGCAGGGCTGTTTTGCAGCCTGGAAGCGGAGGCAGGAACTTAAAAATCTCTTTCTCTTTCCCCAGCTGTGTTTGGACGTTTATCATGACGTTTAGTCGCCGCAATGAACACACAAGATAGAGTCTGCTAAGAAGAGATTGGCTTTCACTCTTCCCGAAATGGTTCTAGAAGCAGATCCTAAGATCTAAATTCAAAACTTGCATTGGGGAGGTGAAAACGCTCTTTCCTTTCCTTGTGATTAAAGCAATGAGTATTTGTGGTGGTTTAAATGAGAATGGTCCCCATAGGCTCATCTATTTGAATGTTTAGTCACCAAGGAGTCAAGGAGTGGAACTGTTTTGGAAGGATTTGGAGATTTGACCTTGGAGGAGGTGTGTCATTGGGAGTGGGCTTCAAAGTTTAAAAAGCCCACACCACACTAGGCCCAGGCTCCCCCCTCCCCCGTTTTATTGTTGCCTGGCAATTAGGTTGTAAAGCTCTAAACTACTTGGAAGATTGATTGAATTTCCAGAAGTGGAGAGACTAGGTGTCAGGGTGGCAAGATGCATACATATGATCAAAGCGCATGTATATACATGAAATTGAGAACAAATAAATAAAAATTTAATAAGAAGTGTATCGTGGTGTTTCAGCAGAAAGAAAGAGAAAAAGAATGAATGAACACAAAACAAATATATTCCTTAATTACCTCAGATGTTTGACTGGAACCTCTTGAGGAAGATTTAAAAAAGAAACATTAAGGGAGCATGGGAAAAAAAAAAACCTCTGATTTATTTCTCTTGCTAGCTGAAAGCTAAAAATGTTGATCCAACTGAAAAAACTGTGCCAAGACATTCCACAAAAGAGCCATTTTCTCACAGGTCATCTGACAAAAATCCCAACACTGGGCAAGGAGATGCTGTTTGAACAGCTGTTCAGAGATGTCCAAGAAACTCCCCAAACAAGCTTTGCTGTTGCTCTTGGTTGCTTCTCAGAGGTTGAGGGTAAGTCTTTGTTGCTAAAGACACTATGCACTTTGGACAGAGGACCCAGAGTTTCTAACCAGAAAGTCTTCTCCCTGAGAACTCGCTTTTGTGGTACCAGAAGGCTCCATACAAGCTTTCAAAGAAGGGAAGTAACCAACCAGTAGTCTTACTCAACTTTGATGCCCATAAATACACACACACACACACACACACACACACACACACAGAAGACTAAAGAAATAGAAGCCATGAATTTGAGATAGAACAAGGGTGTTGCATGGGAGGGGTTAGAGGGGGGAGAGAAAAGAAAAGAGGTGAACAATGTATTTTAATTTGAAAAATGAAAATAATACAAGAACTGTTTTCTGAGGAATATCTCAAAAAAGAATATTAAGATAGCTAATAAACTATGCTTAAGCCTGAAACAGGCTTAACCTCTGTGACCTTTGATCTTCATCTTTTCAGTCCTTTCTCACTGTAAACCTGTGAAATACTGCTTATGAAATTACCTAATAATCTCATTACAAAGGAAATTCTTCAGAGAAGAGAAACAAGTTCATTTTCAATTAATTTTAAGAGCATCATCTTCAAATTTCTTTTTTCTTTTCTTTTCTTTCTTTCTTTCTTTCTTCCTTTCTTTTTTTTTTTTTTTTTTTTTTTGAGACAGGGTTTCTCTGTACAGCCCTGGCTGTCCTGGAACTCACTCTGTAGACCAGGCTGGCCTCGAACTCAGAAATCTGCCTCCCTCTGCCTCCCAAGTGCTGGGATTAAAGGCATGAACCACCACAGCCCGGCAAATTTATTTATAAATTATATCCTTAAGACAATCTAACTTTTAAAGTCACAGAATCGCCAGGCAGTGGTAGAGGCAGAGGCAGGCAGATTTCTGAGTTCGAGGCTAGCCTGGTCTACAGAGTGAGTTCCAGGACAGCCAGGGCTATACAGAGAAACCCTGTCTCGAAACCCCCTCCCCCCAAAAAAAGTCACAGAATCATGCATCTGTAGCTATGGCTAAGGTTTTTTACCTGGGTTATTTATTTATTGCTTTGCCATTTGTTTTTAGAGATAAGATCTCTATAGCCCAGAGCTGGCCTGAAATTCACTCTCTAGCTCAGGCCAGCGTCAGACTTGAGGAGTCCCTTCTGCTTTAGTGCCCTGAGTTATTAGAGTAAAGGAATGAGCCAGTGTGCTCAGCTCTCCTGGGTCTGGTTCCTTTCTTTTGGGGTTGGAGGTTGAGAAAGGGTCTCTACATAGCCCTAGCTGTCCAGGAGTTTCCTGTGTAGACCAGGCTGTCCTCAAACCTACAGAGATCTGCCTGCTTCTGCCTCCTGAGTGCTAGGATTAAAGGTGGACACCACTGTCCTGCCTCATGTACCTTCCTGGAGATCTTGTTGGGAGGTTCTGACTGGGATCTAGCTACTGATGCAAGGTTGACTGAATATCATTTCTCCTCCATAGAGGAAGGTGTTTGTTTGTTTTAACTTGTTTAACTAACACTCATGGGGGTGGTGAAGGAGTAAGGGGACACTGCCCAACCATCCAGGTCAATCAAATGAATCCTGGCAACCAGTGAGTTGATAGATGTTGCATGAGATCACCTTCCTATCCACATGCTTCCATTCCATTATGTCTCTTCCAGTGTTTCCTTGACTCCAGCTTTGCTTGACACCAACTCAAAATACAAATTAAAAAAGTCTTAGGAGCCAGTGAGGTTCCTCAGTGGGTAAAGAAAGGCACTTACTGCTAAGCCTGGAAATGTGAATTCTATCCCAGAACGCACATAGAAAAGATCGCCAACTCCCACGTGTTGTCCTGTGCACCCCCACCCCCTCATACAGTGTGGATGTACCTTTCCACTCTATAAACTTTCTTTCTTTCTTTTTTTTTTTCGAGACAGGGTTTCTCTGTGTATCTCTGGCTGTCCTGGAACTCACTCTGTAGACCAGGCTGACCTCGAACTCAGAAATCCGCCTGCCTCTGCCTCCCAAGTGCTGGGATTAAAGGCGTGCGCCATCACTGCCCCCTTTCCACCCTATAAATAGATGTTTAAGAAGTGGGGAGCAGAAGGGCCATATATAAGTCAGGGGTAGAGTACCTCCTAGAATGGATAGGGCTCTTGGTTCAGTGCCCCATACAGCCAAAATGTAAGTAAATATATGTGAACATAAACAAGCACATGTCAAAGGGAAAGGAAGAGTTTTAGAGAAATGTGCGAGCTTTCTCAGAGAATACGCCATAAAAACCTTTTCTACCACACCAAACCTTCAGAAACAAACATCTCAGTGCTAGCAGACCTACCAAATGTACCCCACAAGGAGTGAAGCAGGTTTGTTGAGTGTCCTACATCATGCCAGGGGCTTGGAATAAGTTGGAAAAAAAATCACAGATTCTTGCTCCTGGAGGTGCCAACAGGGGAGAAAGAGATACAACAAATAGGCAACAACACTTAGACCAACTAGTCCAGTGTTGGAGGGGACAGAGCTTTTCTGTTGTTCATTCAGGCTGTGGAAAGGAAGATCATACTATGGGGGTCAATTTCAAGACTCAGTACTTTGACTATTTCAAATAGAGTCTTTCATCTACCCCAAATCCTCAACTTGAAAAATGACACCTTTTCGGTTTTTATAAGAATATAAAAAAAATCTATAAATATGAAGTGCCTCATAAAATAATTTATGAATTCAACCTTTAAGCACATAGTATCAGTTTTTAGTTTTGAAGTGGAAATAGGATTAACTTAGGGAATAATCATGTACAGTAGACAAATTAGCTTTAAAATGCTCCCCATATGAGAGAAAACATAATTTTTATCTTTTATAGGAATGAGAGCAAAATCAGGTAATCCAGAGCTGTTTTCTTAAGCACTGTGTTAGATGTAATTAGTAAATGAATTGATTTCTTTTTCTTTCTTTCTTTTTTTGTTTTGTTTTGTTTTTTTGAGACAGGGTTTCTCTGTGTAGACCAGGCTGTCCTTGAACTCAGAAATCCGCCTGCCTCTACCTCCCAAGTGCTGGGATTAAAGGCATGTGCCACTATTGTCCGGCGAATTGATTTATTTTAAAAGATTTATTTTCCTTTTCATTTTGAGACACAGTATCACCATACAAAGCAAAACGCATACAAAAACCCAACCATAACCCCTCTCTCAACTCCAACTTTAATCTCAATAGTAACTCCAAGCCCAACCACAAATCCAGCCCTGAGATCCAAACCCAGCCCAGATCCCAGACCTAACTCAGTAGCCAAATCTAACCGAACCCAACCAAACCCTAAACCACAACCTCTACCTGAACTCCAACACCAAACCCAATCACAACCAAACCCCAAATCCAAATCCAAATCCAAATCCAAATCCAATACCAAACCCAACTTCAACCACAACCCAAATGTAACACCAAAACCTAACACTAATATCATGAACAACCCTAACCTCAACCTCAACCCCAATCCAGAACCCAACACTATCAGTGACTCCATTGCCTATGTCAATCATGCCCCAACCCCTAACTCCAACTCCAACCTTAAATGCAAGTCCGATACTAACCATAAAACCAAATCAACTCCAAACCAACGATAACCCCAACATCCCTACCACTAACCTTAAACCAAACCACAACTTTAACACCAAGCTCACACTTAACAAAAAATAAACAAACCTAAACAAACCGATGCCAACTGCAGCCTAAAAGCCAAGCCCATCTCTACCTCAAACCTAACTTCATGCCCAACCCCACATCCAATCTGACCCTGACCTTGACCCTCACACTGATCCCAGCCTCAAATGCAATTGCAACCCAACCACAACCATAAACACAATTCTACCCCTACCCACCACCCCAATCCTAACTATGGTAGTTTGAATGAAAATGGTCTCCATAGGCTTGCAG